CTCTGACTACAGTTCAATTACTCATTACCTCTGTTGTCCAGTCACGTTGTGAACGTCTTATATATATAAGGCTAACAGATATCTAGTAAATGCTAGGGCATTCTTGAAGGAACAGGATATTTCTAGAAAGAGGTGGCGTGGTACTAGTCACGTGACCTCGCTGACGCAACAATACTTTTACCACTGAAAGTAAAGTACACTTTTCTACGTAAGATAAAGTTAAACATATACAAATGTTTGCTAGACAGGTACTTAAGATTATACTAATCCACAGGTATCTTACAGCGAAATCCAACCAAACAAGTACGTCCTTGGATCCTTTAATTTAATGCTAAAAAAAAAAACAACAAAAAACAGATTTTTGTAGTAATTTGTTCATTATTTAAAAATGAAAAGAAATATATATTTTTTAAAATTTCTGTCATATATATTGTCCACGGAATATATATAAAAAAATTATCTATTGCGAATTTTAACGTCATTCATTATCACTCAGCACTGTTTCTTTGGCAGGTTTAGGAAGCCTCCAATACATTGATCGGTGTTTTTGTTATTGATTCAGGCTGTTGAGGGCCTACATGACAAATACGTTTGAACTGATGACTTTCATATTTGTTTTTTTTTAATTTTTAGCTCATAGCTCCGTCATCTCTTGACCGATTTAAGATATAATTACAGTTTTGGACTCAAGAGGTTAAACCTTTTCGATTGATATATTGACCACGGTTCAAAGTCTCATAGATTAATTTACTCTTATCCTGCCTAAAAGAATTTAAATTTGAGGGTAGGCTGGTAGAGATCCTGATGAGTAATAAAGTCGAATCGGGTATACACGTGACCCACGTTTGGTATTACTGGCGCACAAAAATATAGCTAATAAGATGTCGCGGCTATTGAGGATTCCCTCTTGTTTTTCTTTCACTACTCGTGTATTTAAAGTCATTGTCCTGGGTACACGTTTTAGTTCTAGTTTTAATGAACAGGGCACATTTCTTAAGTACCAACCTCGCGCCACATAATATTTTGTGAGTGAGATTAATCTTATGTTTTGAACAAATGAAAGAATAAAACTTTTATTATGTTAATTCATAAAAATATGTTAAACCCAGATTTCCCGTCTGAAAGTATTAAAGAAGTGGCAATTAAGAATTTTAGTATGAATGGCTCTTTCTGTGCGCGTGGGCTAGAAGGCTAGGTCAGAAACCTCTAGGATTCAGGTAGAGCAATCTCTAGCTTTAAAGTAGCGATTAGAGCGAGGGATAACCAGCAAATAAACACCTGTGTCCATAAATGTTTTATCTGACTATTCGAACCGAATAACACGATTGTCTCTTAGAGCGAGGGATAACCAGCCAATAAACACCTGTGTCCACTAAATGTTTTATCTGAGTATTCGAACCGAATAACACGATTGTCTCTTAGAGCGAGGGATAACCAGCCAATAAACACCTGTGTCCACAAATGTTTTATCTGACTATTCGAACCGAATAACACGATTGTCTCTTAGAGCGAGGGATAACCAGCCAATAAACACCTGTGTCCACAAATGTTTTATCTGACTATTCGAACCGAATAACACGATTGTCTCTCACTCTTATAACTATCACAGCTGAAAACGAGGAGCGTCTTCAGTGGCCTCCCGTCTCGAACCTTGGACCGTTCGATCCACGCGCGACACTCTAAGCAGGCTAACTAGGTTACATTCGGCTTTTGCATTATAGAATTAAGACTAGGTTATGATGTTTTGCTTTCCCCATTATTTAGTGTATTAGAGCTTTAAATTACTGGGATATAATTTGTGTAATATACATTTAATCTGCAGGTCGTGGGTTCGAATCCCGTTACCGAACATACTCGTTATTTCAGCCGTGGGGGACTTAAAATGTGGTGGTCAATCTCACTATTTGTTGGTAAAAGAGTAGCCCAAGAGTTGGCGGTGGGTGGGATTGAATAGTTGACCTCCCTCTAGTCTACCACTGCTAAATTAGCGACGGCCAGCGTAGATAGTCCTCTAGTAGATTTGCGAGAAATTCAAAACTTTCAAAATAACAGATATATGTTGTTACTAAATCTGAAACATTCTCTATGTTTGAGTAGTTCCGAAGTAGGACGAACTCCCTGTTATATCGGCTTAAATGTCTCTTGTCAAGGTTTTGTTTGTTTGTAATTAAACATAAAGCTACACAGTGGGCTATCTGTGCTCTGACCACCACGGGTATCGAAATCCGGATTCTAGCGTTGTAAGGGGGCCTTGTCAAGGTAAGATCAGATCACAAAAAATATGTATTGCAAGGTTTAAGCAATAATGTTAGTAAAACTGAGGTTTATATTAGAACACACGAGTTGAGTAGCCCTAACCACCAGGTCATGTTAGACCTTGAGAGATTTGTAAGTGCCGAACATTTCCCACGTGCTTCTACTATTTACTTGCCGAAATGTTCAGTATTTCGTTTTCATTCTGGTATTTTTAAACCTAATAAATAAAGACATGAAACGCTGAATTAGCTAGCCATAATTTTTAAAGTTTTTTTTTTATTATAGTTCATTTGGATCAAACTAATTATGCGTTCCGCTATTTGTTCGTTATTATGAGTTATAAAAGTAAGCATATCGCACTTTGTTGTTACTTTGAGCCATGAAAAGATACACGTTCTTTTTATTTTGGGGCCCCGGCATGGCCAGGTGGTTAGGGCGCTCGACTCGCAATCTGAGAGTCGCGGGTTCGAATCCCCGTCACACCAAACATGCTCGCCCTTTCAGCCGTGGGGGCGTTATAAGTTACGGTCAATCCCACTATTCGTTGGTACAAGAGTAGCCCAAGAGTTGGCGGTGGGTGGTGATGACTAGCTGCCTTCCCTCTAGTCTTACACTACTAAATTCGGGACGGCTAGCGTAGACAGCCCTCGTGTAGCTTTGCGCGAAATTAAAAAACAAACAAATCTTTGTATTTTGGTAACTAGTACGATGATGGAAGTTTCTTTCAGCACATGATTATAATTTAGTTATTTTGTTTCTCGTCCACAGGGGGAGCTGTGGTGTAACAAGATTCTGTCCTTAAAGACGCAAGATTTTTACTTAACCAAGAAGACACAGGTATTTCAGAAGCACAAGATCTAACAAATCCGAATTTCAATTGAAGAAGGATATTCTTATGTTTAATGTTCTCTAGAGGGCTGATTCAATGAATGTATCACGCCAGTTTTCTGTAACTACCTAAGCCCCAGTTCTAAACCATAATTAAATAATGGTGAAAAAAGCTTCAAATGTCCCCCATTAAGGTGCATTTACACTGTCAGTCTATAAATAATTTTTACCACTAGGTGGTGGACCAGAAAAACAGATATTTTTTATTGTTCTTGAAGTCATGGCTGGTTGGAATAGCGTTTCTGGATATCTTGTGCACCGACCAGGAGGAAGTAAGTGATCAAGTCATTTTTTTTTCTTCTTAGTTAATCAGACTAATCAAGATTGAAAGTTTTTTTCAAAGTAATGCATTTTTAATAACAGTATCTGAAACTTCCGCTGTTAATTAGAGAAGCAGTCGAGATAGAAAATCAAAATTATTCGAAAGTCATGATAAGCATAAAAGGATGAGTTAAAAGTCTGGGTAAATAACATTAACAACTTTTTTACTGGCCATTAGTTTGTGTTGAAACCTATGACAGTTTTTTATTGTTATTATGGTAGCTTCTTGCGTTTTAAACTTTCGTCCGGTGTGTCAATAAAGGGGATGTTAATATTAAACGTCCATGATGTAAACGTTTAGGGTAACTCTTCAATACGTTGTCATTTTTAAGGCATACGTAGCTACCAAAATGCACAACGAAATAATCAAACCAACATTCACAACAGTCTTTAGGCCTAGTTGTAAACAAACGCAGCCTTTGGAACGTCGTATTGTCTCAGTGTACACTTCTTAAACTTATGACGAATTCGAAATCTTGTAAAAAAAAAATGTAATATGTCTAGAATTAGTCCTGCTCAAAGTATTATAACACAGACATTGTCCAAATTTGGTCGTGAGCAAAACATCATTAAATGTGGATAATTGTTAGTTAACATATTTAAGTAAAGATTCGAGGTTAAAAGTCATTATATAAAAAATCAAGACTACAAAATCCAGAAGAAAATCTTGATTAATGCCCAACGTTTCGGCTTCTTTCTTTCTCAATGATTAAATGCCTACTGTGTGGAAGCCGAAACGTTTGGTCGTTACTATTAATAAAGGTTTTCTTCAGAAGTTCATATTTTTGAGATTATTTTTATAATAATTGAAAGAAAAAAACCCATCAAAGTATTAGGTCTAAGTATTGGTGTGGTCAAAGTATTAGGTCTAAGTATTGGTGTGGTCAAAGTATTAGGTCTAAGTATTGGTGTGGTCAAAGTATTAGGTCTAAGTATTGGTGTGGTCAAAGTATTAGGTCTAAGTATTGGTGTGGTCAAAGTATTAGGTCCAAGTATTGGTGTGGTCAAAGTATTAGGTCTAAGTATTGGTGTGGTCAAAGTATTAGGTCTAAGTATTGGTGTGGTTAAAGTATTAGGTCTGAGTATTGGTGTGGTTAAAATATCAGGTCTAAGTATTGGTGTGGTCAGAGTATTAGGTCTAAGTATTGGTGTGGTCAAAGTATTAGGTCTAAGTATTGGTGTGGTCAGAACTTTAATAATTATGTTAAGATGATTAGTACATTGGACATCTCTAGAAGGTTTATTCTTATTAAAACTAAATCAAAACCTAAACATACATTCGTCCCTTACTCGTGCATCAGTTACAAGAACGAGATGAAAACAATGTCCAACTCTTAATAAGAGAATCTGACTCGTTTATAAATAAACAAACACGTGCGATGTGTAGTTTGTTTTATAATTTTAAACCACATATGCCACAAGTTTATGAATAAACACACACGTACGCAGGGGTGGGGGTGATTCGGCGAAACCCCCTATTTTTATAATGTACAAAATTTATGCTAATATAATTATAGCACAGCTGCTTATGGTATTAAACGTTTTCTACATAGTTTACATTATTCTGATGAACCATTAGCAATTTTTGACTTGAAATAATTGCATGTCCCCAGACCCCACGTGGCGTTAGCATGATTTGCATGCTGATTGTGCTTCACACAATATTTGTTGGTTTTTGATCTTACGAATTAGACCCCCCTTTCAAAAATTCAGCGTACGGGCCTGATAAATTATGGGCCCGGCATGGCCAGGTGGTTAGGTCACTCGACTCGCAATCTGAGGGTCGCGGGTTCGAATCCCCGTCATATCAAACATGCTCGCCCTTTCAGCCGTGGGGGCGTTATAATGTGACGGTCAATCCCACTATTCGTTGGTAAAAGAGTAGCCCAAGAGTTGGCGGTGGGTGGTAATGACTAGCTGCCTTCCCTCTAGTCTTACACTGCTAAATTAGGGACGGCTAGCGCAGATAGCCCTCGTGTAGCTTTGCGCGAAATTCAAAACAAACAAACAAACCAAACTATGTAGCGGCTACAGAAGATCAAATTAGGAGTTAGCCCAAAACGTCTCAATTCCTACTTCCTTTCGTTGTCTGCGGCTAACTTCGGGAAGGCAGACGCCCCTAATATTTTCACAGATATTATGTCTGCCATCCAGTTGTAATTGACATCTGGGTTTTGGTTTATATATTTATTAATAATTACTTATATATGTCATAAGACATAGGTATTAAGACTATTTTCTTTTTTCAACACTACATTCTTTATTAAGTCCCTTATGCTTGTTTCACTACATGTTGTCATTGAAATAAAGAATATATATAGTTTAAATTCAAACAAAAACCTTAAGCCTAATGCTTATGTCTTGTGGTTAATTTAACTGATTATATTCATGCTTCGCCAACTTAGAAAAGTCGTCCGTTAATAACCAGTATTAATTATTAACATCCCATTTTTTAACTGGCTAAATACGAGTGTTTGTACGAAGATTTAGACTACATTTTTCATCATTATTATTAGTTAATACCAGGACCAATCTGAACTTCTGGTTTACAATACTAATAAAAACACTTTTAGACAATGCTACTAAAGTCAGCATGGACTTCTTGTCTAAAGGAACCGCGTTGGATTAATAGGTAGCGTGTCGTAACGTGAATAGGAGGGTCCAGATTTTCAGTTCCATTACCGCAAAATCGCGCTTTGCCCTTTGGGGGTGGGGGGGGGGTGGTGGTTGTGTTATAAGAATGACCATCATATCCCACCTTTCCATTAAAGTAGCTAAAAAGTTATTGGTGGGCCACTGCTGACTAGGTATCTTACCATTTGTCTATAAGTTCACAAATTATGTACGGCTAGCGTGGATAGCCCTTGTGTGGCTTTACGCGAAGATCCGAAACAAACAAATAAATTGATGTGAAGTTTAAAATTCCAGTGACATCTGTTGACAGAATAGTGCAACTAAAGTCAATCTAATATACTGTAAAGTAGATTTTGTTATAAGCTATTCAGTAATTTATTTTATCGTGCACTGCAATGTTGCTGGAGCCATTAACTTTTTTTTTACTTCAACTCCTCAAAGCTTTGGGAAGACTGAAATCCAAGAGAAGGCTGTGGTACGTATATGATGAGGGAAACTGTAACCTCTTGTATTACAAGAACGAGGCAGACTCTAGCACCAAACAACCTCTAGGGGCCATTAACATCCGTGGCGCAGCTATTTCATTAGGCCAAGCGGAGAGCAACGAGTTTATAATTTAGTAAGTTTTGTTCAGATATTTCACTAGTTGGGGAAGGAAACAAACGGTTTGTAATTTAATAAATCTTGTCTTAACAAGTAAAGAAGAAAACCTTTTCAAAAAAAGGAAGTAAATGTAGGGATGGCTAATATCAATCCTTCAAAAACAATGAAAACAAGATGGTAAGGATGACATTGACATAATAGCACAGGCAAGAATTAATATATGACAATATATATATAACTATTCAATCACAATTGAGTTTAATTTATCCTATTTTTTGTCTGTTAACATTCGATTGCACTGCGTTCCTGTACTATTATGTAGGGATGGTGCAAATGCCATCCCTACTATCTTGTTTGCATTGTTTTTGAAGGACTGATATTAGCCATCCTTTTTTTTTATTTACTTGTTTGCTGGTTTTGTTTAATACAGTGTTTCAATAGACATAGGAAGGTTGTGTTTATAACTAAGTTCTAAATACAGTGATGTTCCAACTGTAATATTTATTGTTTATCTATTATTGGCTGGTAATTCCTGTTTCACCCTGTACTTAAGTTGTTTAAAGAGAACACCAGATTTCTGTAAAAAAACTAACTTCAAGGGATAATGATAGCATCGTTTACACTAGAATTATGATTTTTTGAAACTGATATTAGTCATTAATAATACTTATAAAAGCGGATACTTCGTTTGAAACTTTGTTACCTCAATAAAATTGGTTGACACCATTGTTTTGTTTTTGAGTTATCATGTAATAAAAAAAAAGAAGCAGAAGAACAAGAAATTCAAACTTTTTACTATGATATTTACAGACATTCCCAGAACTTGTGACTCAGTCATTATATAGATATTGTTATAAAAGGAAACACTGTATGGTATTGTAAAGTTCTGTTGACCTATTGAGGAGATATTGAAAATACAATGAACAATCCGAGCCATCCCTATATAGTCAGTGCTACTGCCTGCCTGATAAATCTTGTTCAGATTCTTCATTCGTTGTGAATAAAACAAATTGTTCGTAGAAGGAAAGAAACGTTCGTAATTTAAAATCTTGTTCAGATTTTTCATTCGTTGTGGAAGAAGACACACGGTTCGTAATTTAAAATCTTGTTCAGATTTTTCGTTAGTTGTGGAAGGAAACAAACGTTCGTAATTTAAAATCCTGTTCAGATTCTTCATTCGTTGCGGAAGAAGACAAACGGTTCGTAATTTAAAATCTTGTTCAGATTCTTTATTCGTTGTGGACGGAAACAAACGTTCGTAATTTGAAATCTTGTTCAGATTTTTCATTCGTTGTGGAAGAAGACAAACGGTTCGTAATTTAAAATTTTGTTCAGATTCTTCATTCGTTGTGAAAGAAGACAGACGTTCGTAATTTAATATATGTTTGTGATACTTCATAATTTTGTTGTTTTTAGCGCAAAGCTCCACAACGGGATATCTGCGCTCTGTCCAACGCGGACAACTGAGCCCCGGATCTTAGGCCTGTAAGTCCATAAAATTATCCCTGACCAACTACGGGACTACCTCATTAGTTCTGGAAAAATACTTTGTAATTTAATAAGTCTGGTATAGCTTTAACCATGGAGGAGAAAACTGTCATATTATTGTTCTGTTAAGATACTTTATTAGTCCAAATATAAGCTCTTGTTTTGATGGGAAAAACAACTTAGAAATGAAAGTTTGGGCTACACTAATATGTTCAGCATCAAGGTGTTGGGCTACACTAATATGCCCCCCCCCCAGTGGCACAGCAGTATGTCTGCTGACTTACAACGCTAGAATCCGGGTTTCGATACCCGTGGTGGGCAGAGCACAGATAGCCCATTGTGTAGCTTTGTGCTTGATTACAAACAAGCAAACGAACAATACACTAATATGTTCAGCATCACAGTGTTGGGCCACACTAACATGTTCAGCATCAAGGTGTTGGGCCACATTAATATGTTCAGCATCAAGGTGTTGGGCCACACTATCATGTTCAGCATCAAGGTGTTGGGCCACACTATCATGTTCAGCATCAAGGTGTTGGGCCACACTAATATGTTCAGCATCATGGTGTTTTCGCGAATTTCTAAAACAAAGAAACAAAAATGTTCATTTAAGATTTATGTTTTATAAAATAAGTTTTTCTTTCTCTCCGGCTACAGCCACAACTTCAAAAATTGCACTAGTAATAAATACTTGGACAACAATACACAGTGTAAAAAGAAATAAAAAAAAATGTGGCACTTTGAAGGTCACGGGTTCGAATCCCCGTCCTACCAAACATGCTCGCCCCTTTCAGTCGTGGGCGCGTTAAATTGTGACGGTCAATCCCAGTATTCGTTGGTAAAAGAGTAGCCCAAGAGTTGGCGGTAGTGTTACACTGCTAAATTAGGAACGGCTAGCGCAGATAGCCCTCGGGTAGCTTTGCGCGAAATTCAAACCAAACATTTATGTCATTTTATTTTGGAATATTTTAGTAACTTGAGCTATATACTCATTTTGCTGCAGAGGACATTTTCTGAAACGTATAATTATTCAGTGTTCATTTTCTTGTCACAATATGTATCCATGTGATACTTACTACCAATTTACACAGCGTTTGTTTTCGTAGTTCCGACAACAAAGTGTACGTCTTGGCAGCTGATAACCACGAGTCTCTGATGATTTGGACCATGGGTCTTCAGGTAAGGTCGGCACTAAACAGAATGTCCCTGAATGTAGATAACACTTCTTTCTTCATCAACGTGATGTACTTACATGATCTTCAGATATTAGTAAAAGAATATCGATAAATTAGTTTTTGCTTAACAAGTAAAAATATTTTTTACAGTAAATGCTCTGTTGTTCAAACCTAGTAAATCGTTATTGTGTTTGTATTTACAGAAACATCTCAAAAGTAAATAGACACCATGGTTTTTTCAATAGTCATTTATCTCACATTATCAACTTGACAAAAATGTTTACAAATGTGCATCAGTACTTAGTCGATTTGCCACTAGCATTTTTCAGTACTTTGACTCGTTCTGGCATGGAATCGATGAGTCAATTTTCAGTGCTTTGACTCGTTCTGGCATGGAAT